CATTCTGAGAAACAGAGATAGGAAAGGGGAAAGAAAATTATTTTCCGGAATCTTTACAATGTTTCCAGTTCCTCTATAGGAGCAAAATTATATTGCTTACAAAAAGCATAATATCATATTTGAATGATAGGTGATTTATGTATTTTAAATTCAGGAAAGTTGATAGCGGTAGTTCATTGAGCTCTACCCACTACCCACATTGAAATAAAATGGAAAAAGGAGTCAGAATTATAAGGAAATGTTGTTGATGTTTTATTAGAAAAATAGATTATTTTTGTGCTGAATATTTCTTTTTTTTTTTTTAATTTGGAGTCTCACTCTGTCGTACAGGCTGGAGTGCATTGATATACTCATGATCACTGCAGCCTCTACCTGGTAGGCTCAGGGGATCCTTCCGCCTCAGCCTTCCAAGTAGCTGGAATTACAGGCATGTGCCACCTCGCCCAGCTAATTTTTTGATTTATTGTAGAGGTGAAATTGCCCAGGTTGGTCTCAAACTCCCGGGCTTAGGTAATCCTCTCACTTTGGCCTCCCAAAGTGCTGGGATTATAGGTGTGAGCCACCGAGCTCAGTCTGAATATTTCTTTATTTTTATTTTTTATTTTTTTTGAGTTGGAGTCTTACTCTGTCGCCCAGACTGGAGTGCAGTGGCCACTCCCGGCCACCACAGCCTCGACCTGCTGGGCTCCAGCGATCCTTCCACCTCAGCCTTTTGAGTAGCTGGAACTACAGGCGCCCACTACCACGCCCGGCTAATTTTTTGATTTACTGTAGAGGTGAGGTCTCGCCAAGTTGCCCAGGCGGGTCTCTCGCGGGCTCAGGCAATCCACTCACCTCAGCCTCCCAAGGCGCAGGATTACAGGCTGAGTCACCGAGCCCGGCTCTGAATATTTCTTAAAGTACTTATCCTATTTGCGGAAATACATTCCTATTGCTTATGTCTTTGGATGAAATATAACGAGTTAAGCTTAACGTTCATGATTTCACTCTAATTCTTCTTGTAATTTTGTTTCTAAGAAAAAGAACAAGGAAGGGAAGGCAGTAGGACCACTCTGTGGTAAAGAACAAGAAAAGTAATATTGCATAGACATCTTAAGAGATTCAGAAGCTGAATATTCAGTTTTTTAACTTTACCTGATTTCAATGTATACAAGGGTTCAAAAGAAAAAAGTCATTCAATATCATGTTGATGGTTTTGTCAATCTACCTCTGTGTTACTTCACAAACGTGTCCTTAATTAAGCTGTCATCTTTTCGATCATTATAAAGTGTCATATTGAGTACATTTTTCAGCACATTCTTCTAACGAAATGGTTGACAGATATGAAAATACTTTTTCCATTAGAGGTTCCTGTAGAAAAGGCACTGAAGAGTTCTTTTCCGCTTGAGAATCATCAGAAAACCACTCATCAGCTGCTTCTATACTTTGGCTGTAATAAGAGTCAGATGCCACTGGTGATAAACTTAATGTAACACTGGTGCAATTTGTTGCCGATCTAGTTCCTGGGGAGTCACAAATGACGTTTTTTGTTGCAAGGCAGACTTCATCTTCAGAGTGATCCTTAATTGCTGTAAAAAAAAAAAAAAGAGATTTGCTAGATTTGCTATGAATATTACACATGAATGAGCCAACTCTTAATTATAAGGACAATATCATAATGAGCAGTATGATGCTATAAAGAAAATTCTGATTTGCTATCGTCATTCATATAATATTATAATTAATTAGGAATTAGCAATATTTTCATGATAAACAAGAGTAGAAAAGTCTTCTAAATAAAATCAATCAATTTTTTTTTTTTTTTTTGAGTTGGCGTCTCACTCTGTCGCCCATACTGGAGTGCAGTGGCCGCTCCCGGCCACCGCAGCCTTGACCTGCTGGGCTCTGGCGATTCTTCCACCTCAGCCTTCCAAGTAACCGGAATTACAGGTGCGCGCTACCACGCCCAGCTGATTTTTTGATTTATTGTAGAGATGAGGTCTCACTGCCCAGGTGGGTCTCGAACCCGCGGGCTCAGGCAATCCACTCACCTCAGCCTCCCAAAGGCACGGGATTACAGGCTGAGCCACCAAGCCCGGCTAAAATCAATCTATTTTAACAGACTAGAATCTGTTCTAAAATGTCCCTTAAAATTGGAAAAGACAGTGTCTTAACTATCTAGAGCTAAATATTGCCTTATTTTAAAAATTAAATTTAAAAAATCTTTTTGAGTCAGAATCTCACTCTGTTACCCAGGCTGGAGTTCAGTGGCACAATCATGGCTCACCACATCCTTGACCTCCTGAGCTCAGGTGATTCTTGTGCCTCAGCCTCCCAAGTAGCTGAAACTATAGGCATGCGCTACCATGCCTGGGTAATTTTTTTGAAATTTTTTTTTTTGTGGAAACAAGGTCTCTATGCTGCCTAGGTTGGTCTTGAACTCCTGGGCTCAACCAATCCTCTCGCCTCAACCTCCCAAAAGTGCTGTGATTACAGGTGTGAACTACTGCGACTGGTTATAAAATGAATTTTTTTTTTTTTGCATTGGAGAGAGCCTGTGAATTGACTTTATACCAATAATAGTAACAAACGTTCCTATAGAGCCTTAAAGTTTACAAAGCATTTTGATATGCCTATATATCTTTATTTATGTTCTCAATAATTCTTCAAGGTAGTTATTATTAGCACTACTTCACAAAAGATGAAATAGAGAAATGACCCATCACAGATCAGATACAAAATAGATTTCAACCTAGATTTTTATTACTCTAAGACTCACACTTTTCCCATTGTATTTTTTAGGCTGTATACTTGGCATTACAAAATGTTAAGTTTTAGAAAATGTCACATTTGTATAATATCCTAAAACATCTTTTCTAATATTTTACATATTAACTTTTATATTTTCTACATTAATTTTAAAGCTGTTTTAAATAACTTATGCTTTCTAAAACATAGAAGGTAATGTTTTGAGGTACTAAGATATAATATTGCAATATCTAAAGGGTTACAAAAAAATCATGTTTTTTGGCCCTTAGGCGTTACAATATGGCATTGACTATGATATCTTTGGGTACAAATAAGAAAGACAAATTAAAATTTCACATTTTAATTTAAGATATGACATTGCAGGCTATGTTTTTCTAAAAAATATATGCTCATTCACGTACAAATACATTAAAGTTTCCCTTACATTTTTGTGGTATTAAAAACACATAGATAACATTTAGGATAGTCTCTTGATTCTTTAAGATATAAATTGCTAAAGTTGATTAAGACTTCTAATAAATTGTTGAGAAAAAGTACCTTTTATACATGCTGCTTTCTCTTTTCTTTGCTCCTCCTACACAAAAAGAGGTCATTTGTATTTTGAAAATTGAATAGTTGAAAAATATTTGCATATCATGTTCTAGTAAGAGATTAATATAAAGAATATATAAAGAACTCCTACATCTCAACAAAAACAAAGAACTCAACTTAAAAATAGGTAAAAGACTTGAATACACATTTCTCCAAAGAAGATATACAGATGGCCAATATGCACATGGAAAGATGCTCAATCACTAGCCATCAGGGGAATGTAAACCAAACACAGTGAGACACACTTCAAGCCCAGTAAGATGGCTATGAAGACAAACAAAAACCCAGAGAATAACAAGTACTGGCAAGGATATGGAGAAATTGGAAACCCTGTGTGCTGTGGTGGAAGTATAAAATGGCATAGCTGCTGTGGAAAACAGTTTGCCAGTTCCTTAACAACTTAGACATAATATTAGTATATGATCCAGCAACTTCACTTCTGGGTACATATTTTTAAAAAACTGAAAGCAGCGACTCAAACAGATACTTGTACATTCATGTTCATAGCAGCATTATTTATAGTATCAAAAGGTAGAAGCAATCCTAGTGCCTATCAATGCGTGAACAGATAAATACAATTGGCATATACATATAATGAACCATTATTCAGTCTTAAAAATGAAAGAAATGCTATCATATTCTACAACATGGATGAAATTTGACATTATGCTAAGTGAAATAAGCCAGTTGCAAAAGGACAAACAACCTATGATATACTTAAATTAGACTTATTCATAGAGACAGTAATTTTTTTTCTTTTTTTAGTTGGAGTCTCACTCTGTTGCCCAGGTTGGAGTGCAGTGGTATGATCATGGCTCATTGCGATCTCAATCTCCTGGGCCTAGGAAGTCCTTCTGCCTCAGCCTCCCAAGTAGCTGGGACTACAGGCGTATACCACCATGGCCAGCTAATATTTTGATTTTTTTTTTAATAGAGATGAGGTCTTGCTTTGTTGCCACTCGAGCTCCTGGGCTCAAGCAATCCTCCCACCTTGACCTCCCAAAGTGCTGGATTAGAGGTGTGAACCACAGTGCCCTATAATATTATTCTATTTATGTGAAATTTAGGAACTGATAAAAACTAAACCTTGTTGACAGAAATCAGAAAGTTGATACTAGGAATGGATAGATAAATTGACTGGAAGAGGATAGGAGAGAATTTCCTTAGATTAAAAAAATGTTCTGTACCTTGTTTTTGGTGTTGGTTGAATGTATATACAATTGTCAATGTTAATTGAGTGGAATAGTTAGTCTGTGTTCTATTATAGGTAACTAATGCCAATAAAATACTTTAAAATTGTATCAATAAAATATTTAAAAATCATATCAATTTCACTTCAGTGATCTTCTTCCTCAAAATCCATAATCCCAGTGTAATAATGAGAAAAACAGTAGACAAACTCAAACTGAGGGACAAAATACATGACCAGTATTCAAAATGCTAAAAGGTAAGATTAAAAAAGACTGCGATAAGACAGAGCAGGGGAAACTAAAGAGGCAAATGCAATGTGGTATCCTGGATTAGTTCCTGAAATAGCAAAAGTATATTAATGTAAAAACTGGTGAAACCTGAATAACACCTAGAGTCTAGTTAATAGTAATGTATCAATGTTTGTTTCTTAGTTTTGACAAATGTACCATAGTAACTTAAGAGTTTAACATTAGGGGAGACTTTGTAAGTTTTCTATAAATCTAAAATTATTCCAAAATAAAAACTTTTACTTAAAAATTATATCACAAAAGCATAAACATAGATTTTCCAGTAATAAAAACGAACATAAGATTGTGCAAAGCTTTTATAACATTAATTATAAAGTTTTATTGAGAGATGTTTAAAGATAATATATATAAATGCAAACATATCATTTCATGGAACAGAAGATTTATTAACATTGTAAATAATCAGTTTTTCCAAAATGCAGTAAAATTACCCTCAAAAATTCCAAAAGATTTTCAGTAACTGTCTATTGAGCACGTAGCAAACATATGAAACAAAAGTGAAATTGAGTTCTTATTTACATCAAACACAAAAATCAATTCTAGATTGATTAAACATGTAAGTGGGCAAAACTATAAAACCCTTAGAAGACATATAAAAGAGTATCTTCATGATTTTGGGGTAGAAAAGGAAATAAATCATAAAGAAAAAAGTTGAGACAATAGATTACATTAAAAATTAAATAATTTTTGTTCATCAAAACACATCATAAAAATAGTGCAAAGAAAAGTCATAAGTAGATGAAAATCTTAAAATTAACATGACTGAAAAAGAATTAGGTATCCAGAATACACAACTCTTTCAAAGTTTTATAATAGATAACCTAATAATAAAAGAGGTAAAAAATAACAGGCATTTTGCATAAAAGGAAGCTATAATGGCCAATGAACTTTAAAAAAGATAGTCTACAATCTGAGCTATTTGATGGGGAAAAAAAGGAAAGACAATCACCTCATTTGTTAGCAGAACAGTACTAATTAAAACTACAGTGAGATATCAAAAGAATGACAAGACAAGCCATGGGCTGGGAAAAATATTTGCAAAAAACAGCTGATAAAGGACTATTATCCAAAATATACAAAGAACTCTCTAAAACTCCATAATTGACTGGGCGTGGTGGCTCTAGCCTGTAATCCCACCACTTTGGGAGGCCGATGCGGGAGGATTGCCTGAGTCCAGGGGTTCGAGACAAGCCTGGGCAACTTGATGGGACCTCGTCTCTACAATATATATATAAAAAATTAGTCAGACTTGGTAGTGTGCATCTGTAGTTCTGACTACTTGGAAGGCTGAGGCGGAAGGATCGTCTGAGCCCAGCATGTCAACGCTGGGTGGCCGTGAACATGCTATTGCACTCCAACCTGGGCAACTGAGTGAGACACTGACTTAAAATAAACAAACAAAAAAACTCAATAATTAAAAACATGAATAACTGCCAGGCATGGTAGCTTCCACCTATAATCCCAGCACTTTTGGAGACTGAGGTGGGAGGATCACTTGAGGCCAAGAGTTTGAGACCAGCCTGACCAACATAGCAAGACTTTGCCTCTATCAAAAAAAAAAAAAAAAATTAGACAGATGTGGTGGCATAGGCCTGTAGTTCTGACTACTTGGGAGGCTGAGACAGGAGGATTTCTTGAGCGCAAGAGTTTGAGGTTACTGTGAGCTATGATGGTGCCACTGCACTCCAGACTGGGAGACAGAGTGGGACCCTGTCTCTTGAAAAAAACCCTGAGGTGAGTGGATTGCCTGAGCCCATGGGTTCGAGACCTGCCTGAGCAGGTGAGACCTCATCTCTACAGTAAAGCAAAAAATTAGCCGGGCATGGTAGCACGCGCCTATAATTCCGGCTACTCGGAAGGCTGAGGTGGAAGGATCACCGGAGCCCAGCAGGTCGAGGCTGCGGTGGCCGGGAGTGGCCACTGCACTCCAGTCTGGGCGACAGAGTGAGACTCCAACTCAAAAAAAAAAAAACAACCCAAAAAACAAAAGAGAATAACCCAATTAAAAAATGAGCACAAAATCTGAACAGACCCCACCAAAGAAGATATACAGATGGCAAACAAACACATGAAAAGATGCTTGACATTAGAAGTTATCAGGGAATTGCAATTTAAAACAAAATATGGCTGGATGGGTGCCTTGTCTCATGCCTGTAATCCCAGCACTTTGGGAGGCTGAGACTAGTGGATTGCTTGAGCCCAGGGGTTTGAGACTAGCCTGGGTAACATAGTGAGACCTTGTCTCTACAAAATAATAAAAGAAAACATTAGCTGGGTGTGGTGCCATGAGCTTATAGTTCCAGCTACTTGGGAGACTGAAGCAGAAAGATCATCTGAGCCCAGGAAGTCGAGGCTGCGGTAAGCCGTGAGCATCCCACTGCACTCCAGCCTGAGTAACAGAGTGAGACCCTGACCCGTAATAACAATAATGATAAATAAAATGAAATAAAACCAGTTACCGTTATATGTCATTAGAATGGTGAAACTCCAAAACACTGACAACGCCAAATGCCAGTGAGGATGTGGAGTAACAAGAGTTGTCATGTATTGCTGGTAGGAATGCAGACTTATTATACAATCACTTTGGAAGATAATTGGACCGTTTCTTAGAAAACTACACATACTCGTACCATACAATTGTGCTCCTTGGTATTTATGCAAATGAGTTAAAAACTTATATCCACACTAAAACCTCCACACAGATGTTTCTAGCAACTTTATTCACCATTGTTAAAACTTGGAAGCAATCAAGATGTCGTTCCATAGGTGAATGGCTAAATAATATCCCCACAAGGGAATATTATTCAGTACTAAAAAGAAATGGGTGATGCTATGGTTTGAATATCCCTTCAAAACTCATGTTGAAACTTAATCCCCAATGCAGCAGTATTGAGAGGTGGGGATTTTAATAAGTGATTGGGTCATGAGAGTTCTGCCCTCCTGAAGAGATTAATTTATTCATGGATTAATGGGTTAATGAAATAATGTATTATCATGGGAGTAGATCTGGTGGCCTTATAAGTAGAAGAGAGTTCTGAGCCAGCACGCTCAGCCCCCTCACCCTGTGATACCCTGTGCCACCTCAGGACTCTCCAGAGAGTCGCTACCAGCAAGAGCCTCTCACCAGCTGGGCCCTCAAGACCTCGCACTTCCCAGGAAAGAAATAAATTTCATTTCTTATAAATTATCCAGTTTCAGTTATTCTGTTGTAAGAAACAGAAAACAGATTAAGACAGGCTATTGCACCATGAAAAGACATGGAGAATACCTAAATGAACATTGTTAAGTAAAATAAGCCAATATGAAAAGGATACATACTGCATGATTTCAACTACATGACATTCTGGACAAGGCAAAAACTATAGAAACAGAAATCATCAGCGATTGTCAGGGGTTAGGGTAAAAACAGAGATGAATCACAGGAGCACAGAGGATTTTTAGGATAGTGAAAAGATTCTATATAATACCATAATGATGGATAAACATCATTATACATTTGTCAAAATCCATAGAATACATAGGATGAAGAGTGAGCCTTAATGTAAACTATAAATTCTGGATCATGATGTGTCAGTGCAGGTTCATCAGTTGCAACAGATGTTCTGCTCAGGTGCAGGATGTTGATAGTAGGGGAGGTTGTGTGCATTAGCCTGCTTTGTGTTGCCATAAAGAAATACCCAAGGCTGGGTAATTTATAAAGGGAAGAAGTTTATTTTTGCTCATGGTTCTGTATGGTGCCAGCATCTGCTGGGCTTCTGGCGAAGCCTCTCTCGTCTTTATTATATTAAGCCATATTTTTTGTTATCATTTTCATCCTCCTGCCACCCAGAAGTCTGTCTGAAGTAGAAGAGGAGGCCAATGTAAAGACAGAGACAAAAAAAAGGGGGGTGGGCAACACGAGTCTTTTTGTACTAAAACTGTAGCTAAGATCAGCACCTTCCTATCTTTTTTAAGCTATTTTTTTGGTTCTTATTCTAATTTAAATGGGGTTCCTATCACTGACTACCAAGAATTGTGAATAAGAGCTTTAAAAAAAAAAAGAAATCCTGACATTTGTGACAACATGGCTAAACCTAGCTAAATGAAATAAGCCAGGCACACAAATGCCATACGATTTCACTTATACGTAGAATCTAAAAAAGTTGAACTCACAGAAGCAGAGAGTAGAATGCTGATATACCCAGAAGCTAGGGGTGACACGGCGAATGGGGCAATGTTAGTCAAAGAATACAAAATCTCAGTTAGACAAGAGGAGTAAATTTAAGAGATCTATTGTACAACATGGTGACTATAGTTAATAGCAATGTACTCTATGTTGAAAATCGCTTAGAGTAGATTTTAAGTGTCCTCATCACAAAATTTGGTATGTGAGGTAATGTATATGTTAATTAGCTCAATTTAGGCATTCCACAATGAATACATATTTCAAAACAACATATTGTACATGATAAATATATACAATTTTTATTTGTCAATCAAAAAATAAATAATGGAAAAAGGAATCCTGAATAATATTTTGTATTGATTTGTATATTGTTTATCTCTCCCACTACACTACAAATTTCATAAAAGCGGGGACTATTGTCTGCTTTGTTCACCATCACATTCCCAGTTGCCTAGAACAATGCCTGGCATATTCTTGCCATATTTGTTGAATGAATAATAAACAACCTAAATAAAATTACATAACACTTTTGTAATTGCCTATTTCATTAAACATGATGGCATCATTAAATCACTAGTACCTAGCAAAATGCCTAGCACATGATGAATGTGCAATAAATTAAATATGTTAAATGCATACATAGAAACATTTTTTTCTCTGCAATGCAATCTGTTTCAAACTATCCTGTATTTGAGAGCTAATCCTCTTAGAATTAATTTGATCTTTATGTCGGCCTGCTTAAAACCTTCTGGTAATTATAATAGTAGAATTGTATGACACTCACGATGTGGTCGGGCATTATGTAGAAGGATTTTTTTTCCACATACTAATTCATTTATTCCTACAACAACACAGTGGAGGTGAAATTACCCTCATTTTGCAGACGAGGAAACTGAGACACAGAGAAGTAACTTGCCTAAGATTACACAGCCAGTAGTGGTGGAGTCAGAATTCAAACCTGTCATCTGGTGCTGTAGACTGTGCTCTTGACGCTATTCCTGGAATGCAATGGATCTGTAGAGCCTATGGGTTAGAATCCAATTCCTTTAGGGGGCAAATGACATGGCTCACCACAATCTCATCTCCGGGACCTTTTTCTACCACTCTTCGATGAGTCCTAAGCTCTAAACGTTGTAACATTTTTACAGAATATATCGCTTCCTTTTCTAACTGCAAGTCTTTGAACATAAGATGTCTTTTTTTCTCTTTCTGATGAATGTCTATTCCTTTCTCAAAACCCAGTTCAAAATGTCTTCTCTGCAAAGCCCTCCTCAATTCAGGAGCCTTTGTCTGTGCTTTTTCAGCTTTGTGAGCTCTTATCATATTGTGTTGTAATTATTAATTTATATGTTTTTCTTCTCTACTGACATTGGACTCATCTAAAACTAGGCTCATATCTTATTATATAGCCTCAATGGCAAAACTAGTCACTCTGTTGCCCAGGATGGAGTGCTGTGGCATGATCATGGCTCACTGCAGCCTCGACTTTCTAGTGCTCAGGTGTTCCTTCCACCTCAGCCTCCCCAGTAGCTGGGGTTACAGGCACGCACCACCATGTTCGACTAATTTCTTTTAGAGATAATGTCTGGCTATGTTGCCCAGGCTGGTCTCAAACTTTTGGGCTTAAGCAATCCTCCCAAAGCAATCCTCTTGCCTTGGGATTACAGGCATGAGCCACTGCATCTGGCCTCAATAAATATTTATTAAACAAATGAATGGACACCGAGGTCAACCTGAGCTCAATACTCAAGTTGTATAGTGAAACTCTGACAGTTTATCAGTCTGTCGCTGTTTACCTATGAATGCTATAAGACCACTACTTATTTTGCTTAGCTATTATCACAATTTTATGTGTCTACTGGCCTCTGCCTTGTTTTACTTTGTTCATATAACACTGTTTTGACACTTACCACATCACACAAAGTTAATTAAGTGTCTGCATTTCTCTCTTGTACTACACAAGCACCTTGAAGGCAGGGGCCACATCTTACTGTCTCCAATAGAGGGGCCCAGAACTTGGAATGTAATAAGTGCTTAGTACAACCTTGTCAAAGTGAATTTAATTTCAATTAGTTGGTATGGTTAGGTTATCTGAGTATCTCTTATCTCCAAATCTCCTTCTTTGAACAAGCCTGTCAACTTTGCTTTCATTTTTTTCTTACAGCATTTATCTTCATTCCTATTGCAATCTCAGTATGTAGAATGTGGATTCTTGGGTTAGAGACATGGAGAAGCAACTGTAGAAGAAAGGATGTTTTCATTCAGTTTTTTAGTTTTCCTATAGTATCAACTCTAACTAGTTTGGGAAATTTAAACTTGGCTCCACACTCTTGTACCTCAAGTTAAAAAATAGTAGTGGGTTCTCTGTCCTTCAAATTTTAAGATAACAATGCCAGTGACATGGTTCCAAAAGAAATAATTTGAAAACATTTCTGCAAAATATTATAGTTTACCTGTAATTGGAATCCTCCAGTATGAAAATTTCGAGAAATAAAAACACACTGAGACTGAGATTTAATCTTCACCTTTGGTGGCCTTTGCCTGCATCTCTCATCAGTTGCTTTAAATTTGAAGTTTTGAAATAGTTCTCTGAAAGTGTTTTATAGAGAATATTATTAAAAATGAGTTAGATTATGAAACAGTTAAAGTTATCATTTTCAATATTTATACATAAAGGCTTAAGATCAGAATAAACATGTTACAGCTTATTTATTATTAATATTTTTTTGAGTCAGAGTCTCACTCTGTTGCCCAAGGTGGAGTGCAGTGGCATGCTCACGGCCACCACAGCTTCGACTCACTAGGCTCAGGCTATCCTTTCGCCTCAGCCTTCCAAGTAGCTGGAAGCACAGATGCATGCCACCATGCCAGGCTAATTTTTTGGTTTGTTGTAGAGACAGGGTTTCACCAAGTTGCCCAAGCTGGTATCAAACCCCTAGGCTCAGGCAATCCTCTCTCCTCTGCCTCCCAAAGTGCTGGGATTAAGGTGTGAGCCACCACACCCAGCTAGCATATTTATTTTAAAATATCCCCTAAAGAAAGAATGTCTTTTCCTCTCAGTAATTTTTTTTTCAAGTTGGAGTCTCACTCTGTCACCCAGGCTGGAGTGCAGTGGCACAATCACAGCTCACTGCAGTCTTGAACTACTGGGCTCAGGCGAGTCTCCTGCCTCAGCCTCCCAAGTAGAGTCTACGGGTACATGCCACCATAAGTAATGTTTATATCCTCTAAATTGGGAGTCAAATTTTAAAAAAATTTCTAGACTTACATTACAATCAAACCTATGTCTTCTGGAAAATAACACAGATTTTTTTTTTCAACAGATTTAAAGTCTTTATTTGCCAAAGGAAAAATTATTGGGAAAAAAAGGAAAACCAATTCATAGTTCCCTGGATGACATTTTAAAATATCTAACACAGATCTTTTATTCCACAAAATTTTAATGCATGAAGATTGCTATTCTTACTGGTATGTTTCAGGCTATTTAAAACATGTAAAGCATTACTACCCCAGCCAAAGGGCTTATGACTAAATCCCAAAATACAGAATCAATACTATAACAATTAATTGTAAAGCCATTTGAAAAAGTCCTTCATTGAATTTTTAAAAGAAAAAAAGATTAAACAAATACTCTAACAAGCCTTACCTTCGTTTGCAAATCAGGAACCACAAAGCTGATGCCAAAGCAAAAAAACCAATTCCCAAACTAATAGCACCAGCAGCCAAAAAATAGGTTAAGTGATTAAAAAAAGCTATACAAATAAATTACAAGAGATTATTTCATACAGGTATCTCTATTCTCTGGGCAAAATTAAATGATAATATTTCAAATTACATAGTATAGTGCTAAGACATTAACCAGGCAATTGGGAGATCTGAATTCTAGTCCCATGCAACTCTAATAAGCGGCAAGACTCTGAGTTGGAGAATTACACAGATCCTCCAGTGGATTAGGGCCCGGGGAATATGTTTCCGTTGACGTCAGGATTTGAAACCTAGGCTGTGTTTGTTTTTTGACAGCTGCCACCACCACCTTATCTGGTTTTCTTCTTTCCCAGTCCAGCTTTTTGTTATTTCTCCAGTACTGTTCCTGGCAGTCCTCCAACATAAGACATTTTTCATTTTAAGAGTTGTATTATCAACCACTCTAAGGAGGCAGATAAGGGTAATAAAGTAACAAATTTGAGAACTTTTAAAGATCTTTGAAATCTTTAAAATTTTTCTCTATATCAGGAACTGTAAAAGATCATGATTAAAAGCTAAATGAAAGCCACATAAAATAATAGTGTCACCAATTTTATAATTGGAAAAGATGAAAGGAAGTATACTGTATTACCCCTTCATTGTACAGATGGTAAAATTGAGGCCCATATAAGAGGAGTAACTGAACTAAGGATGTACACCAAATTGAAGCCAGTCCTCTGTATTTTTTCCTATAATCTTATCCCTGCTAAAAATCATCTTAATGCTGGTAAGTATTAAACAGAATTAAGAATAAAGAATGCATGAGGTAATAATCCTTAGATTGGTAAAAAGAAAGCTATATAGAACTTGAAGAACCTGAAAACAACTGAGGAATATATTATTTGGGGAAAAGATTGAGAGTATAAAACTAATTGAAGGTCTTTTTCTGTGAACATATCATCAAGATCCACTAAGGACATGACACAATAAAGACTTTGTTGTTTCCATATTTCTATTATTTACTATGTAATTTCCAGATTCAATAAAGTGCCTCTCAAATCTTAGCTTTGAGTTCAGAAATATTTACATCCAGGAATTGTAAAATGTTATATAAGGCTAGTAGTTATCAAAGATATAGATAGATAGATAGATAGATAGATAGATAGATAGATAGATAGATAGACAGACACATATATATTTTGAGTAAGAGTCTCACTGTGTCCGCCAGGCTGGTGTGCAGTGGCACACTCACGGCCAGGATCTCAACCTACTGAGCTCAGGTGATCCTTCCACCTCAGCCTTCCAAGTAGCTGGAACCACTGGCGCATGCCACCGTACCCAGCTGATTTTTAAAAAATATATTTATTGTAGATACAAGGTCTTGCCATGTTGCTCAGGCTGGTCTCAAACTCCTAAGCTCAGGCAACCCTCTCACCTCAGCCTCTCAAAGTTCTGAGATTACAGGTGTGAGTCACCATGTCCAGCAATATTTTTAATATAAAAACTCTAAATGCCCCAAATTAAGAAGTCCAATAAGTTATGGTGATATTATATAAAATATAGTATTCTTAATTTAGTGCAGAGTTTCTCAATTTCAACACTATGATCTTTTGGATCAATTTTTTATTGTGGAAGCATGTCCTGGGCAGTGTACCAAAGATATCTCCAGACATTACCAAATGTACCCCAAGGGGCAAAATTGCACCCAGTTGAGAACCAATGATACAGTGGTATAAGGAAATACCAGATAACATTAAATAATAAAGCATGATAGATACAAATTATATTTTAAACAATTAAAAAGACAGCTGTACTCAAATGTAAGATAAGGATCTCTAGGGGAAAAAGAACTATAACACAGAGAAACAAATAGGTGCTAAAACCACAGCTCTGACATGTGAAAGCAGAAATTAGCCAGAAGAAGCAGAGAAGATCACCGAGGCAAGAACTAATCCAAACCATCCTCTGGCACAGCGAGTGAACATACACTACCAAAATCTCTGAGAAAAGGGAGTCCTGAGCCACCAGCAAAAAAAAAAAGGACCAGTGAGGAATCCTAGAAATGAAAAATACAAAAATGGAATGAAATCTTCTTTGAGCATACAGAATGAAATGAGAGAAAATGCTGATACATTTACCCAATTACATAAAGAAATGAAAAATACAATGAAGAAATTATGAGACATATAAGCCTATATAGCATAAAACTAAAAGGTATTTCAAAAGAGAATAAAGATGTAGCAGAGAAGCAATATTCAGGGACACAGCCTAAGATTTTTTTTACATTAAAAATTTTAAGTTTACATATAATAAAAGTCATGTTTTTTTGATGTGCAGTTCTACAACCTAAACTTTTTTTACATAAAAAAATTTTAAGTTTACATATAGTAAAATTCATGCTTTTTTGGTGTGCAGTTCTGCAAGTTTTGACAAATACAAAGAGTGTTTAATCACCACAACAAGTTACAGGACAGTTCCGTCACCCCCACAAAATTTCTTCATACTGTCTCTTTGGGGTCACACACTAAGTGCTGGCAACCACTGATTATTTTTCACCCTTATTCTCCATCCTTTACTTTTGCTTTTTCCTGAATTTCATACAAATGGAATCAAGCATGTGGCCTTTTGTGTCTGCCTTTTTTTTCACTCAGCATAATGTATGTGAGATTCATTCATACTGTTGCATGTATTAACAGTTTGTTTCTTTTAATGCTGAGTCATATTTCATTTTATAAATGTACCACAGTTTGTTTATTCCCCATATGAGAGACATCTGGGTTGCTTCCAGTTTTGAGTGGTTAGGATTAAAGTTTGTATACAGGTCTTTGTTTAAACATAAGTTTTATTTCACTGGGATCATCTAGAAAAATACTGTATATTTAAATTTATAAAAAACTGCCAAATTGCTTTCTTTTTCTTTTTCTTTTTTCTGTCACCCAGGTTGGAGTGCTGTGGCACACTCACGGCCACCCCAGCATTGACCTGCTGGGCTCTGGCAATCCTTCCGCCTCAGCCTTCCAAGTAGCCGGAATTACAGGCATGAACTACCACACCTGGTTAATTTTTGATGTATTGTAGAGATGAAGTCTCACCAAGTTACCCGGGCTGGTCTCGAACCCGCAGGCTCAGGCAATCCTTTTGCCTCAGCCTCCCAAAGTGGTGGGATTACAGACTGAGCCACAAAGCCTGGCCCAAATTGCTTTCTAAAGTAGCTATACCATCTTGCTTTCCTACCAGATATATATAACAGTTCCAATTGCTTTGTATCAATCACTGCTACTTGGTATTGTCAGTTTCATTTTAGCCATTCTAATAGATGTGCAGTGGTATCTTACTGTGCTTTTAATTTGCATTTCCTGAGCATAAATGATGCTGAGCATCTTTCTGCATACTTATTTGCCATTACATATCTTCTTCAGTGAAGTGTCTGTTTGAATTTTTTGCTGAGTTTTGTTAATTCTTCATACATTCTGATACACTTGTCCTTGGATGTGATTTGAAAATATTTTCTCTCTATCTGTGGCTTGTCTGTTCAATTCTCTTAACAGTATCTTTTACAGAGCAAAACTTAAGTTTTGGTGATGTAAAATTTATCAACATTTTTTAGGGTAACCAAAGCAATCTATAGATTCAATGCAATTCCTATCAAAATACCAGTGACATTCTTCACAGAAACAGAAAAAAAAAATTCTAAAATTCACATGAGATCGGGCTGGGTGACTCAGCCTGTAATCCCAGCACTTTGGGAGGCCAAGGTGAGAGAATTGCCTGAGCCCACAGGTTCAAGGCCAGCCCCAGCAACTTGGCGAGAATTCTCTGTACAATAAATAAAATATTAGCCGGGCATGGTAGCATGCACCTGTAGTACCGGCTACTTGGAAGGATCATCGGAGCCCAGCAGGTTGACGCTGGGGTGTCTGTGAGTGTGCCACTGCACTCCAGCCTAAATGATGGAGTGAGATTCCAACTTAAAAAAGAAAAAGAAAAAAAATTTCATGAAACTCAAAAAGACCCTGAATAGTCAAAGCAATCCTGAACTAAAAGAACAGAGCTGGATGCATCACACTATCTGATTTGAAAATATGCTACAATGTTATAGTAACCAACATAGCATAGTACTGGCATAAGAACAGACACATAGACCAATGAAACAGAATAGAGAATCCAGAAATTAATCTACATATCTACAGCCAATTGATTTTGGCTCTTTTTTTTTTTTTTTAGTTGAACTCTTTCTCTGTCACCCAGGGTGGAGTGCAGCGACGTGCTCATGGCTACTGCAACATCAAGCTACAGAGCTTGGGTGATCCTTTTACCTCACCCTTTCAAGTAACTGGAGATACAGGCTTGCACAACCATGCCTGGCTGATTTTTTGATTTATTGTAAAGATGAAATCTTGCCAAGTTGCCCGGGCTGGTTTCAAAACCCTGGGCTTAGGCTACCCTCTCACCTCTGCCTCCCAAAGTGCTGGGATTACAGGCATGAGCCACCATGCCCTGCCAATCAACTGATTTTTGACAAAAGCACCAGATACATACATCGAAGAATGAACAACCTCTTCAATAAGAGGGTGCTAAGAAAACTGGATATCCATATGCAGAAGAATAAAACTAGACTCTTATCTCTCATCATATACAAAAATGAACTCAAAATGAATTAAAGGTTTAAATGTAAAACCCCAAACTATAAAACTACTAGAAGAAAACATAGAGGAAATGCTTGAAAACATTTGTCTGGGAACAGATTTTATGGATAAGACCTCAAAAGCACAGGCAACAAAAGCAAAAATAGACAAATGAGATCATATCAAACTAGAAAGCTTCTGACAGAAAAAAATCAACAAAGTGAATAGACAATCTGTAGGATGTAAGAAAATTTTTGCAAACTATTCATCAGACAAGGGCTTGATACCCCAAATATATAAAGAACTCAAACAGCTCAACTACAAAACACAACAAGCAAACAAATAAACCAAATAATCTGATTTTAAAAACGGGAAAATGAAGCCGAGCAAGGTGTCTCATGCCTGTAATCTTAGTACTTTGGGAGGCTGAGGTGAGAGGATTG